TGTTCTGGTCTGGACATGGATCCAGACTCCTTTGACACGGGTGTGGACTGGGTCTGGGGTGACCAGATGAGACCAGACTCCAGCTCCCAGTGGTGTTCATGAGAACCATGGTGGGTGCAGGGTGGGCAGGGCTAGGTCTCTGCCCCTGCTGAGCCATGTGTGAGCTGTGTGTCTGGGTGTGGACCTGGCTTGGCTGTAACTCCCCAAAATAACCAGAATGGGTAAAGGCCAGTCAGGAAAGGCCACTGTTCCTACTAGGACAGGGAGTGGACTAAGTAGGGCTGGCCCGTGGACACACCGGTGGGTGTGAGATCTGGAATTGGGAGAGGTTCTGATGGAGGAGCCTGGCAACTCCTCTGTTAGGACACAGTTCCTACAGGTGAGCACAAGAACCAAGAAAGGGAGCAGCCCACACCAGGCCCAAGAATGGTACCCACAGGCTTAGCTATGGCTCAGGTCTGGGGCAAGCCAGATTAGAACAGTTTAGATCACCCGCTGGCAAATCCAAGAGCCAGAATGGTGTGTGGGTCATGCCAGGTCAAGCCACAATACCAGCCAGTTCATACTATGGCCAGGACTGGGGACTACTTAGGCTGTAGTTCCTACCAACATGAGCTGGAACTACGGGTGGGTTGGGCCAGGCCAGGTTACAGCACCCACTGTCAAAAGCTGAGGTGGGCTGGGACATACATACCAGACTGGACCAAAGCACCCAACCAGCACACGTGAGACCCCAGGAAGAGTGGGCGCACCTGGTAGGGGGGCTGCAGGGAGCTCCCCTGCTGGGCCACTATTCCCACTGGTGAGCGTGGGAGCTGGGATTGGGGACAGACCAGGCCAGGCAGGGCTACAACACCTGTTGGCCTGCATGTAAGCTGGGTCAGGGACAAGCCAGGCTGGACAGACTGTACCTATTGGTACATGCATAAGCCAGAGGGGGTGAGGGTTGGCTGGGCTTTGCCACAGCACCAGCAGCAGATGCTGGCATGGAGGAAAACTCTGTCAAGCTAAACTGCAGTACCACCCACAGAGTGCAAGATACACGAGTGGGGGTGAGCCCATTAGGGAAACAGTGAGCCCCTCCCTCTTGGGCTGCCACTCCCATGAGAACCAGGACTGGGACAGGAATAGCTAGACAGAGAGTGGCATTCGCCAGCACATGTGTGGGCTGGATAGTGGGGCTGGTTGGGTTGAACTAGGCTTCAATGCCCACTGACGTGTATGAGAGCTGAATGGGATGTGGGACAGACTGGAGCAGTCTGCTTTACATACTGGAACCAGGGCAGGAGGCAGGCCTGGTGGGGGTTATGGTGGGTCGCACTGACTAGGCTGCATCTCCCACTGGTTTGCGTGAGGGCTTAGTATGCGGTGGGCAAGATCAGCTGGACTGCACCACCCATCAGTTTGCATAGAAGACAGGGCTGGAGACAACTGACCAACAGCTGTAACTAACGGGGTGCACATAGGTCGATTGGGCGATGGACCGTGGCGGACCCTGTGTTGGCAGGTACACAGCAGTCAGGTCTGGGATCACCTCAGATGAAATTTCTTTGGGAATCCCTCCAGCTGAACCGCTGGACTCCGAACTCCAATCATGGAGGAAATTGCAGGTTCCATGGTCTGACCATGGAGTGCATGTGTCAGCTCTGGGCCTCCTCAGTGGCTTAGCCGGAGCAGTGGACGGCATCTGCAGGTGCACATGGAGGATGTGGCAGAACACTGGTGCCTGCAGAAGACACCTGGTACCACAACAGACGACGGAGGACAGAACAAATCCATCAGCTACCCCAGCCGAGAGTTGGCACTGAATACCTGGGCAAAGAGGGACTCTGAGGTGGACTGTGTCAGCCAGTGGAGTCTGGAGAGATTTCATCGTAATTGGATTGGTGAGATTGGCAGCAATTCAGAACTGTTCAGCTCTCAAAATCACCTGAGCAGGACCCTCGGAGCATGCGCCACGCAGGGGCCCATGGGAAGGTTGGAAGGCTGGGCGTGGCTTCTGCCCGCATTTCTCCCCTCCCTGCACATACAAGAAGGTAAAAAGAGAATGTTAAACAATGGTCACACCCACTTTCCTCTAGTCCTTGACTCTTTGTTCCTTAATCAAATATGTAAAAAGTATCAAATATAAAATGTATACAGTAAAAAGGATTTATTTATTTTTACCGGAAAGGCAGATACATAGAGAGGAAGATCTTTCATCCACTGATTCACTCCCCAAGTGTCTGCTATGGCCAGAGCTGAGCTGATCCCAAGCCAGGAGCCAGGAGCTTCCTCTAAGTCTCCCACAAGGGTGCAGGATTCCAGGCTCGACTGCTTTCCCAGGCCACAGGCAGGGATCTGGATGGGAAGTGGAGCAGCTGGGATAAGAACTGGCACCCATATGGGATCTAGGCATATGCAAGACATGGACCTTAGCCATTAGGCTACCATGCTGGACCCAAAAGGCATCCTAGGATGTGATGAAATGTGCCACTCCCCTTGTTCCTTCTGCATGTATTTTCGCACCATCCCCCCTTTTTTCTTACTGTTTTTTTCAAACTTTCTTCCCAGAACGGATGGACTGTTCCCTGAGGACACAGATCACACTGACTGTATGAAGGAATGCAGGGCCCGTGTTGTGGCACGGATGGTTATGCCACTGCTTGGTGGCCGGCATCCCATGGCGAAGTACTGCTTTGAGTGCCAGCTGCCTGGCTTCCCGTCCTGCTCTCGGGCAGCGGGTGACCCCAGGACTCAGGCCTGTGACAGCCGTGTGGTGAGCCAGGGCGGATCAAAGCAGAGTTAAAACATGGATGACCCAGGGGACGTATAATTTGGAAGACCATGTTTGCTGTAACACTGACCTCGGCCCCGCGCTCTGGCCTCGGTGCACGCGGGTTCTCGGTGCCGGCAGACTGTGTGGTCCCAGGGCAGCACAGGTGACCGAGGAGGGGCTCTCCAAGAGCAGGCATTGTCTTCCGGAAGGCCTTCTGCTGCCTCACCCACAAGCCGCCTGGGTGATGTTGGGCACGTGAGGGCTCTTCTGCACGGCACCTGAACTCATTGCCCGGGGGCCGGTCAGGGCCACAGCCAAGCCAGGACGCGTGTGTCCGCCTGCACGCCTGTTACTGAACCTGCTGCCGCTGAATTAGTGAGCTTGTACGGTAGCTTCCCTCCGACCCATGTCCGCCTGACTGCTTTACATCATCTTTGGTCTGAGATCTATCACAACCCCGCTTTCCCAAGCAAAGTAAGTATTTTTCCCATCTGGCAGTTTAAAAAATACAGATAGCAGTTATAGGGGGAAAACTCAGGTCTCCTTCAGCAGGACTGCATGAAGCATCTTGAGTTACAATTGGGAACTCTTTTTTTAAGATTTATTTATTTTTATTGCAAACTTAGATATAGAGAGAGGAGGAGAGACAGAGAGGAACATCTTCCGTCCGATGATTCACTCCCCAAGTGACCGCAATGGTCAGTGCTGCGCTGATCTGAAGCCAGGAGCCAGGAGCTTCTTTCCGGGTCTCCCACGCGGGTGCAGGGTCCCAAGGCTTTGGGCCATCCTCGACTGCTTTCCCAGGCCACAAGCAGGGAGCTGGATGGGAAGTGGAACTGCCGGGATTAGAACCGGCACCCATCTGGGATCCCAGAGCATTCAAGGCGAGGAATTTAGCTGCTAGGCTAGTGCGCCAGGCCGGCAATTGAGAACTCTTAACTGGTGCACAAGTTTCTTGTGTTACCACCTAAGAAAGACGTCCCTTCCTGTGGGTGTCCTATTTCCACACCATTCCCATCGGCGGCCTGAGTGAAAAATGTGACACGGTGCATATTTTAAGTATGGTCATCTCAGTAGTCTCCAGACATGGCGAAAAACATCTACACAGCTACTTTCACATGGCGTATTATGAACCAAACACAAAACTGACCAGAAAGGGGCCAGCATGGTGGCTCAGATGCCAGTCTGCCTGCTAGTGCCAGCACCCCCTGTGGGCGCTGGTTGGCGTCCCGGCTGCTCCCTGCTTACGGCCTGGGAGAGCAGTGGAGGATGGCTCAGGTCCTCGAGCCTCTACACTCAAACGGGAGACGCAGAAGAGGCTCCTGAATCCTGGCTTCGGACCTGGCCAGCTCCAGCCGTTGCGGCCATTTAGAGAGCAAACCAGTGAATGGAAGATCTCTCTGACCGTCCTCTCTGTAAAGCTGCCTAAGAAACAGAAAGAAAGCTTTCAAAAAAGCACCTGTGTCCAGAAAGACAAACACCAGCAACTTTTTTTTTTTTTTTGCCCAACTCCTTTGTTTTGTTTGCAGTGCGGGCGGCAAAATAAATGAAGCAAACGGGGGGGGGGAAGGTTGAGAGAGGAGTTAAATATATTGAAAGAAAATGCACTTCATTCGACAGGTTTCAACGCAGCACACGTGGAGGCACATCCAAGGTGATGAGATCTGAACACTTTTTCCAGCGAAGGACCTGTACCCAGGGACAGAAGGGCCTCTGAAGAGCTGCCTGGGGTGGGGATCACTTCCGGTCAGCAGCCGTGCCTGGGATGGGACGACCCCGCCCGTGCCAGGCTTCCCCACCTCGTTGCTGTGTCGCCACAGACCGGGGCATACTTTTGCAATGAACGAGAGACTTCCCTGCCCAGTGCACAGCGATCTCAGTGCCTCGGGCACACATGGACACGCTGCCCAAACGCTGTCTCGCAAAACACCAAGGGCACAAGGCACACGGTGTGCAGACCGGGTTCCAGTTTCTCAGGGGATGTGTGGATGGCGGGGAAGGCGCCCCCTGCCGGGCAGAGCGTGCAGCCAGACACCTGTCTGAGGAACCGGAGTGACCCAGTGACGGGCCGCAGAATGAAGGGCTTGAACACGCTGAAGGAGTGGATGATTGTGTGCGATGCAAGAGCTCCTCTGAATGCAGCTGGTCCTCTGTCCCCCGTGGAATAGAGAGGAAGGGGTGACGTGAGAAACACCGGGCCTTCCCGTTGGAGCGCTCTCCAGGGGAGAACCGGCTCCTGTCTTCAGTGTGGCTCCTTCCTGTGCACCCGCTGGTGGATGTGCAGGTTGGAGCTCTGGCTGAAGCCCTTGCCGCACTTGGCACACTCATAGGGCCTCTCGCCCGTGTGCACCCGCTGGTGGATGAGCAGCTTGGAGCTCTGGCTGAAGCCCTTGCCGCACTTGCCGCAGTGGTAGGGCTTCTCCCCGGTGTGCACCCGCAGGTGGACGCGCAGGTCGGAGCTCTGGCTGAAGCCCTTGCCGCACTCGTAGCACTGGTAGGGCTTCTCCCCGGTGTGGGTGCAGCGGTGGATGTGCAGGTTGGAGCTCTGGCTGAAGCCCTTGCCGCACTCCCCGCACTTGTAGGGCCTCTCGCCCGTGTGCACCCGCTGGTGGATGTGCAGGTTGGAGCGCTGGCTGAAGCTCATCCCGCACTCTCCACACTCGTAGGGCTTCTCGCCCGTGTGCACCCGCTGGTGGATGTGCAGTTTGGAGCTCTGGCTGAAGCCCTTGCCGCACCTGTTGCACTTGTAGGGCCTCTCGCCCGTGTGCACGGCGTGGTGGATGAGCAGGCTGGAGCTCCTGGTGAAGCCCTTGCCGCACCTGTCACATTTGTAGGGCTTTTCGTCCTCGTGCCCTGCTCGATGCACCAGCAGGCTGGAGCTCCTGCTGAAGGCCTTGCCACACTGCTCGCACCGGTAGGGCTTTTGTCCGCCTTGGCCCCTCTGATGAAGCCCCAGCAGCTCCGAGTCCCGACTGCCGGCCACATCACACCGACTGCCCAGGAGTGGCTTCTCCGCCAAGGGGACTTCCTCGCGTGGCTGGCCAGCTGCCTCAGCCCTGGGAGAGGGCGAGCCCAGCTCTGCGATGTCAGACACCAGCTTAAGGTGAAGGTCCTCCAAAGGACGCTCTGCGAGAGGGCTCGCCCCACTTCCCTCCCTCCTCTCGGGGTTCTCCTTGGTTTCCAAGAGAGCGCCCGTGCCCTGAGCCTGCCGGGACTCGTCCTTGCACACCTGCACCGCACCGTCCCCTGCAGCCATTTGGCTCCGCGCTCTCAGAGGTCAGCGCTTCTCACCTTGGAAGCCATCAGCATGAAGGGTCCGCACAGTGTGCCTGCTGCTGGCGACACGAGAAGGGCTTCTCCCTGCGTCCAACACGGGGCGAGATTCAGGTCAGGGCTCTCACTGCACTTCTCCTTGAAGATTCCCAGGGTTTTCTGGACTCTGACTTGGGATCCTGGCCATCCCTTCCAAAACGAGCCACCACGAACGCTCCCAAAACAGATTCTTAAGTCCTTTCTTTGGCGGATTCTGTACAGAATTTTCATTCATATCTCCTAGGGAACATAAGAATTCAGTGATAAAAACAGCAAGTTCAAGATCGGGAGTACCGGAGGACGGAAGACTGTTAAGTAGGAGAAAGGCCAGCTTGTCCCGTGTTGGGGTGAATGCCGAAAGCAGAGAAGACCCAGGCCATGGGATAAAGGAGTTCTCTCTGCTCCGAAGCACAGTCCATACAAGGATTGCTTCATGGTTCAGCCATGTCACTTGATCGCATCTGCACTTAATTGCCATTCCAATTTTCTAGGTGTTGGGGATACGGAAGAAAGCAGACACCTTCTGTTAACAAGCCGTGGCTTCCCGGAGGGACGGGCTCACCTGTACCAAGAGCGAGGTGACCGTGTGTTGGGGGTGGTGGGTAGCACTGACCTCAAAGGCGTGGAACCAGAGCCATGTCTGCCTCCAGAGCGCTTTTAAGCTTTGCAACAGCTGCAGACTTGTGACCAGCTGAACACCCTAAGTCCAAAATGATACACAGTGCAAACCTTGGCATCCCCTAAGCTTCGGGTGTTGGGGCATTTTGGATTTCGGTCGGGGATGTGTAACCTCAACCACATCACACAGATGTGTGTGCAGTACAACATGCCAGAGGAGACACATGTGCGGGAGTCCACGTGAGGGGCACACAACCAAATCTTAGGGCCTGCGGGAGATTTCTGGGACAAAGTCACAGGAAAAAAAAAATTAGGAAATACAGCAGGTTCAGGAAATGGCAAGGGAGGCAGGAACGAGAGCCAAGGGCTTGGAGGCCACAGCTAAAGGCTACAGCAGGGACCAAACGTTTCCACGCATCAACTCAAAGGGAAATGACTGTGATCACAGCCACCACTGGAATGCGAACCGTTGGAATGCACCCAACGGGAGAAGCTGGGGTGACAGAGGCAAGGCTGGGAACGTGAGGGGGGCTCCAGGAAGAGGCATGCTGCCCCCAGCGAACGCTCGGAGGGGTTTTCGTAACTGCCTTGATAAAGGGCGAACATCTGTGCTCTGTCTAGTCAGCTAACCAAGGACAGACAATACTCCTTATCTGTGCCCTATCCCAACAGTGCTTTGATCAAGGCGCCTTGTTAACTCGCCTTGAACTCCCTGCTTACACACATGACCTAAGTCCGAGCTGCTTCAACTGCTGTTTTTAAGATTTTACTTATTTTATTTATTTATCTTAAGATTTATTTTTTACTTTTATTGCAAAGTCAGATATACAGAGAGGAGAGACAGAGAGGAAGATCTTCCGTCTGATGATTCACTCCCCTAGTGACCACAACAGCTGGTGCTGTGCCGATCCGAAACCAGGAGCCAGGATCCAGGAACTTCTGCAGGTCTCCCACGCGGGTGCAGGGTCCCAAGGCTTTGGGCCGTCCTCATCTGCTTTCCCAGGCAACAAGCAGGGAGCTGGATGGGAAGTGGGGCTGCCGGGATTAGAACTGGCGCCCATATGGGATCCTGGCGCATACAAGGCGAGGACTTTAGCGAGGACTAGGCCACCGTGCCGGGCCCTGAACTACTGTTTTGCTGAGTGTATAAATACTGGAACCCTGGAAATAAACTTTGTCAGTAGCTCATGAGAGTTCTGTTTCCATTTTTTTTCCCCTCAGTCGCTTCCTCCTCAGGACCTGCAAGGTAAACTTGCACAAACTTTGCGTGGAGGTGGACACGGCAGCCCATCAGAAGGACGTGAGGATGACAGCTGTGGAGAGATCTGCTCTGAGTCTCGGTGGCAAGTGAGACCTAGAGCAGGCACCTGAGTGGGCATGGCTGGCCAGCAGGACAGGGGCTGAGTGGCCAACAGTAAAAGCGTGATGTTATCTGTGGTGCTGGGCTAACATCCTCACAGCACTGCTGAGGACCAAGTATCGGGATTAAAGATGGTTCGTCTCTGGTGTGTATGTCCGTCAAAGCAAGAGCAAAGATTCCTACAATTAGGATGAAAAGCAAAGCAGAGCAAACCAAACTCTAACAGTCCTGAAGCACAGACAGGCTGCCCTCACCAGAGCAATGTGGGAGAAGCTGGAAGGCCGGCCACACCTGCACATCTGCTGCCATCCGCAGGACAAGACTTCCCCTGGCAAGGGGCCTTCTCACCACGTCCTGGGAATTCAGACTGCAGACTCGGCAACCGTCCAGTCAGGATGATCCAGGGAACAGATGTGCCCCTTCGAGTCGGGCATTCCCAACGGCTGGCTGGCTGTCAGCATTAGAACTGTTGGCCTAACCTCCCTCTGCCCCATAGAATATGAAATCCTGGGTCTGGGGTGGTGGCCAAGTGGCTAATGTCCTCACCCTGAATGTGCCAGGATCCCATATGGGCACCAGTTCAAATCCTGACAGCCCCACTTCCCATCCAGCTCCCTGCTTGTAGCCTGGGAAAGCAGTCAAGGATGGCCAAAAGCCTTGGGACCCTGTACCCGTGTGGGAGACCCGGAAGAAGTTCCTGGCTCCTGGCTTCAGATCGGCTCAGCTCTAGCCGTTGCGCTCACTTAGGGAGTGAATCATCGGACGGAAGATCTTCCTCTCTGTCTCTCCTCCTCTCTGTATATATTTGGGTTTGCAATAAAAATAAATAATAGATCTTAAAAAAAATAGATGTTTACTCTGATTGAAAAAAGAAAAAAGAAAAGAAAAGAAAATGCAATCCTGGGTGGCAGTGGCTCAACATAGCGCCTCCAGGGCAAAGCAGGCTGCCAAAAAACCCATACAGAACAAAATCAGGTGAGGCAGGGACGGGCAGAGGCGGGGATTATGGAAACCTACCCAGCCAATTCCCCAGGTGCCCGGGACAAACCCTGAGGGCACCCCCGAGGTGGGAGTTCTGAGGAGGCAGTGCCAGCGGGGGCTGCAGAGGCAAGGCACTAAGGAGACCAGAAAAACCAGCTGGCACTATTCTCCTTGCGTGGTGTCTCCCACCTGCTGGTCTACGTCCCAGATGAGCTGGGGCTGACCTGGGGCTGGAAGGCAGGGACTCAGTGCCGGGTCTCAGGTGTGGGAGGAAGGGCCCTAGTTAGTTGAGCCATCCGGGGCTGCCTCCAAGGCTTTGCATCAGCAGAGACTGTGCCAGGAACCAGAGCTGGGCTTGGAACCTGACGCAGGCGCATGACCAGTGTGCTGACCGCTGGGCCGATGGCGGCCCCCTTAGTATGCAGTCCGGCTGCTTCCCTCCTGAGTCCCAGCCAAACACGCAGGTTTCGCAGTGATTGGACATCAACTGCAGGTGACACAACGCTCCTGTGTCACCTGGCAACAGGAGACTCTTGAAAAACTATGAAAATTTAAAAAAAAAATAGGCATAGTGGACTAAAAGGTAGAAAAATAATAGATGAGCAAACTCAAGAAATAGGATTAAAAGATGAGAGAAACAAGAAATAATCATAGTTCTTCTAAATTAATGAAGTAATTTAAGAAAACCTGTTTCCGGGCCTGGCATGATAACCTAATGGTTGAAGTCCTTGCCTTACAAGTGCTGGGATCCCATACAGGCGCCAGTTTGAATCCTGACAGCTCCACTTCCCATCCAGCTCCCTGCTTGTGCCCTGGGAAAGCAGTCAAGGACGGCTCAAAGCCTTGGGACCCTGCACCCGTGTGGGAGACCTGGAAGAGCTCCTGGCTTCGGATTGGCGCAGCTCTGGCCTTTGCAGTCACTTGGGGAGTGAATCATTAGACAGAAGAGTTTCCTCTCTGTCTCTCCTCCTCTCTGTCCATCTGACTTTCCAATAAAAATAAGTACATTTTTAAAAAGGTTTATTTATTTTTATTGGAAAGGCAGATATGCAGAGAGAAGGAGAGGCACAGAGGAAGATCTTCCATCCTTTGATTCATTCCCAATGGCTGTGATGGCCGGAGCTGAGCTGATCTGAAGCCATGAGCCAGGAACTTCTTCTGGGTCTCCCACGCGGGTGCAGGGTCCCAAGGCTTTGGGCCGTCCTTGACTGCTTTCCCAGGGCACAAGCAGGGAGCTGGATGGGAAGTGGAGCTGCCGGGATTAGAACCAGCGCCCATATGGGATCCCAGAGCGTGCAAGGTGAGGACTTCAGCCGCTAGGCCACGGTGCCGCACCCCTCCCTCTTCCTTTCCGCTCTGATGGTTGTGTTCCCATTCACCAAACTTGAACACGCTTACTTGGTACAAAATGCATTGCATTACCAAGTAACAGTTTTTCTTCTTAATCTGTATTTGTTTATTTGAAGGGCATATTGACAGAAAGATCTGTCTGTTGATTCAATCCCCCACATACCTGCAACAACCAAGGCTGTTAGAACCTGTGCTCATGTGAGCTCCCAGTGCATGCAACAGGCCCACTTTAATGTCTTTTAATGTTATTAACAATCTGGGCCCGGCAAGGTAACCTAGTGGCTAAAGTCCTCGCCTTGCACACACTGGGGTCCCATATGGGCACTGGTTCATGTCCCGGTGGCCTGGGATAGCAGTCGAGGACGGATGGCCCAAAGTCTTGGGTCCTTGCACCTGCGTGGGAGACCTGGAGGAAGTTCCTGGCTCCTGGTTTCAGATCAGCTCAGCTCCAGCCATCAGGCCCACTTGGGGAGTGAATCATCGGAATGAAGATCCTCCTCTCTGTATATCTGACTTTCCAAAAACATTTAAATATATCTTTAGAAAAAATAACAGAACAATAGTTATTAGCATTCTTAAGTTGCAGAAACATCTCTGGGATATCACTCTAAAATGGATCTATCTAATGCTTGAATTATATTGAACACTGGCCCGATTGTTGACACATTTCTCAGGCTCAAGTTAGGCTTATCTCGCTTCTTTACAAGCTTGTTCATTTGAAAAGCAGAGTGGGCCCGGCGCCGTGGCGCAAGTGGTTAAAGTCCTCGCCCTTGCACGCCCGGGATCCCATATGGGCGCCGGTTCTAATCCCGGCAGCTCCACTTCCCTTTCAGCTCCCTGCCTGTGGCCTGGGAAAGCAGTTGAGGACGGCCCAAAGCTTTGGGACCCTGCACCTGCATGGGAGACCCGGAAGAGGCTCCTGGCTTCGGATCGGCATAGCATCGGCTGTTGCGCTCGCTTGGGGAGTGAATCATCGGACGGAAGATCTTCCTCTCTGTCTCTCCTCTCTGTATATCTGCCTTTCCAGTAAAAAAATAATAAAAATAAATCTTTAAAACAAAACAAAAAGAAAAGCAGAGTGACAAGGAGAGAGAGGAGGTGCAGGCAGAGCTCTGCCATCCACTGCTCACTGTGCAAGTTGCCACAACAGCCATTAGGGCCAAGCTGGGTCCACCCAGGTCTCCCAGGTGGGGCGGGGGCCCCATACTCTAGTCATCTTCCACCAGTTCCCCAAGCACATTAGGAGGGAACTGGATTGGAAGTAGAACAGCTAGGGACACGAACCAGAACCAGTGTCACACGTAGCAGCTTACACCTGCTCTGCCACCAGCTTTGTTAACTCTGTCACTTATCACTTTTTTGTTTGTGTGCTTATTGGTGAGTTTGGCATTTTATTTTTGTATTTAAAACACAGGGTGATTGATGTAGAGAAAGAGATCTTCCATCTGCTGGTTCACTCTCTAAATGGCAGTGACAGTCAGGGCTGAGGGAAGATCTTCCTTTCTCTACATCTGACTTTCCAACAAAAATAAAAGAAATTGTTAAAAGAAAAAAATGAAGCAGTCGCTGGAACATAAACTGGCATGCATATGGTATATTGGTGGCACAGTCAGAATCTTTTTTTTTTTAGATTTATTATTTTTTTTTAATTACAAGGTGAGATATACAGAGAGGAGGAGAGACAGAGAGGAAGATCTTCCAGCCAATGATTCACTCCCCAAGTGAGCGCAATGGCCGGTGCTGTGCCGATCCGAAGCCAGGAGCCAGGAACCTTCTGCAGGTCTCCCATGCAGGTGCAGGGTCCCAAGGCTTTGGGCCATCCTCGACTGCTTTCCCAGGCCACAAGCAGGGAGCTGAATGGGAAGTAGGGCTGCCGGAATTAGAACCGGTGACCATATGGGATCCTGGCGCATTCAAGGCGAGGACTTTAGCGAGGACTAGGCTACCACGCCAGGCCCGGCACAGTCAGAATCTTACCTTGCCACAGCATGTGACCCCTGCTTGCTTGTTTGGAATGTTTGTATATTACAGGGCATACAGTTAGTGCTGGGGCTGCTGGCAATGCCTGCATCTCACACTGGAGTACCCATTTCAAATCCCAGCTCAGCACCTTTCTCTGCCTTTCAGAAACTTAAATACAATTTAAAATATTTCATTTTTTAAAAAAAGCAGTCCAGGATGGCCCAAAGCCTTGGGACCCTGCACCCGTGTGGGAGACCCGGAAGAGGCACCTGGCCCCTGGCTTTGGATTGGCTCAGCTCCTGCCGTTGTGGCCACTTGGGGAGCGAATCAGTGGACGGAAGATCTGTCTGTCTCTCCTCCTCTCTGTATATCTGACTTTCCAATAAAGACAAAATAAATCTTAGACAAAAAGAAAAAGAAAGGATGAGTGACTCAATCTTGCTTACCTTTAGGCACATCAAGTAAATAGAAAAGCTATTTCAGGATAAATCTGAATAACAAGATAAGAAACAAGTAGCATTCTCCTTTCCATGTCCCCACAGGAGAGGGCTAGAAACCCTAGGTAGGAAAAAAAAATGCTTTACCTTGTTTTTTATTTGAAAGGTAGATTTTATAGAGAGGAGAGGCAGACAGTGTGAAAAAGAGGGCAGAAGCTTGTTCAGGGTGTCCTACATGGGTGCAGGGTCCCAAGGCTTTGGGCCATCCTCGACTGTTTTCCCAGGCCGCAGGCAGGGAGCTGGATCAGAAGTAGAGCAGCTGGGACTTGAACCGGCGCCCACATGGGATCCCGGCATGTCAGCGTGAAGGGTTAGCTTGCTGCAGCACCACGCTATCCCAGGAACTCTAATTTTTAAAAAAATCACCACAGAGGACCTTGGGGCTGAGGAAGATCTTCCTCTGTCTCTCCTCCTCTCTGTATATCTAACTTTGTAATAAAAATAAAAATAAATACTAAAAAAAAAAAAGAATAGACTATGATTTATAGTTTATAGTTTTATTTTTTTAGGGTTTACAGTTCTATTTTGTTCCCTCAGACCACTTAGCACTAGACTGAATGTGCGATAGCGCTGAACAACTATTAACTTGAGTGAAGTGTCTGGCAGGAAAAGGGCAGGCTTTGTTCCCAGGGACCAGGCCAGCAGGGCTGGTGCACCTTGCCCCAGGGATGCTCTAAGGAGTGTACCCAATCCAAGTCAGGACAGGGAGAGGACTAACACGGAGTTCAAAATCGGCAGACACTGGTGCAGGGCCTGGTGGCATCATCGGTGGATCCTGTGGTGAGGTAGGCAGCTAGTTCAGGGTCATGAGCTTGGCAGACACTCCGTCATCACCACCTGGGTATTCTCCCCTGCCCACCTGTGACTCTGGCCTATCTCCTGAGAGGGGGCGGTACTGCACTGTTGTGTAACCACTGCCCTCACAAAGCCCTGTTAGGGAGGGGCTTGCTCTCTTGGTCGTGTGCTTCCATCGCTCTGGCACCCCGACTCTTGGCCTCCCCAGGACCTGCTTGCTCTCTGGCTTCCCACGGACAGACTCCCAGGATGGTGTCTCTGCTCACTGCTTGGGCGGGATGGTGACGATGTTAATGCTAAGATGCTGTGTGTTTCTGATGTGTGTACTTTGTGAGAGTTCCAGGAGAGGTGAGGCCCTAGCAGTAGTGGAATGTGGGCAGAGAAGCCAGGGAAAGGTGAATGTCTGCAGCTTTGGAAGTGTGTCCCGGTTATTCGTTGCATGGCTTTAGGATAACTTATTGTTGGGGAAGCTGGGACACCGGTCTTCAGCTTAATGGATGGACTTGAGGATAAAGTCAGTTTGTTCCTCTTGGGTTTCGATCGATTGGACTGCCATATGGTCTTGTGATTGGCTATTTCCAGTGGGCCCTGTTTATCACCAGCCTTGGTTAATAAAGGCTCCTTAACAAACCTGAGACATGTCTGGCGTGATCTCGCTCGCACCCTGCAGCAACACCCTTCCCATCACACCCACACCTGCACAGTACCTTCTGCCTCCCACGGAGAAAGCCACACGCGAGTCTTAGGCATCTCGGGAGAATAGAGACCGGGCTCGCCTGGAAGGTCAGATTCCTGGAGAGGCAGCGTCAGAAAGAGCCATGAACATCAAGCTCGCGGCCGCACCACGCAGACCAGCCCGCCAGTCCAGCAGGCTTGCAGGTCCACGGTTGCTCAGCCCCATCCCTCTCCCCCTGGGGACCCCAGCTGGCTGACTCCAATTCTGCAAAGCGCGATCTGGGGGTGCACTGGCCACCCCAACGCACCCTCATTCCCGGGGTGCCTGGGCTCTCCACGCAAGCTCCTTTCGTGAGGGCGGTGCTGCCGCGGCGCAGAGACCCCGGTCCCTCGTGGGGACCCCTCTCCTAGGCCTAACGCCCCCTCTCACCCGCCATCCTCCTGGGAGGAAGGCCCTGAGTGCCAGGCCAGGCCAGGCGAGGCCCAGGCAGCAGCAGGGGCCACCCGTGTCACCCGTGCAACCTGCAACTGCGGCCCCGCGCCCCACGTGCGGCGCCCCCGAGGCCCCGCGCTCTCCACGGCGGCCTCCCCGCCCCCCGGGTTCCTCTGAGTCCCGGGCGGCCCAGCGCCTCCCCCGGGGAGCCCTGTCCCCCGACACCCCGCTCTCCTCTGCCAGCCCCGCGGGCGGCCGGGCCTCCTCTCACCTCCCACGTGGAAACCCACAGCGGACCGCGCAGCTCCCCGGCATCTCCCCCACGCGCCCACGCGGACGGGCCCGGACTACAACTCCCAGCATGCCGCGCGCGGGCCCCGCCCACCACATCCGGCGCCGTCCCGGGGTCGGGGTACCGCTGAGGGCGGCCGGTGGGCGACGGCGGCCTTGAAGTGGTTCTCCCGAGTCCGTGATTACTAACGCGACGGAGTGTGTTGTAACAAGAGCCTTGAAGGGTTTGTTTAAAAAAAGCTACCGCGGAGAAGGGGCTTAAATCCCGCCGTGATTTCATCATTCTCGAATATTCTCAAGTGGAAGGGCCAAGTGGGTGGGTGGAGGGCCGTGCTCGGTCGGTCACGGCGGAGCCAACGCAGACGTTTATACAGAAATGTTTTATTTATTTTTACTGGAGAGGCAGAGCTCTCCAATCGTCTGGTTTACTCCCCAAGTGTCTGCCGTGGCCAGCGCTGAGCCAATCTGGGAGGATTGGCCAATTGAGCCATTGTGTTGGGCCTTATACCAGCACCTGTTCAGGCATGCCCACCCCCAGCCCTGGTTCTCATGCTCACTGGTGGGAGCTGTAGCCCATCCGAGGGGTGCCTGTACTTTCCCAACTAAGCCCACTTCCAGGTCTTGCACTTTCCAGGTGGCTCTGCAGTCCAGCCTGACAGGACCTGCCCATAGTCCTGGCATTTTCTGTTCACTGCTGTGGCAAAGCTCAGCTAACCCGTACTCACTCTGGCACCGGTGAATATGGTCACATAGCCCAACCGACTTTACCCCCAAACCAGCTTGCATGAAGTCAAGTGCGTGTTGTCGCCTTGCCTAGCCTGGTCTGCCCCAAGTCCTAACTCTTATGCTCACCAGTGGGAGCAGTGACCCAGCAGGGTGCCTCTGTAGTCCTCTTACTGGGCTCACCTCCCTCAGGATCTTGCATTTGCTGGTGGGTGCCACTGTCCAGTCTGGCATGGTCTGTCACACCTCAGCATATGCTGGTGGGTGCTGTAGCCCAGCCCAATTTGACCTGCCCCCAAGTTTCAACTCAAGGTGGTGGGTACTGAAGCTTAGCCCAGCTTGGACAGCCTCTAGTCCTGGTCCTCACTGCTTGGTATTGTGGCCCAACCTGTCCTGTCATGCACCCCGTCCTGGTTCTTACATCTGCTGGTGGGTGCTATGAAACCGGCCCAGGTCTGAGCCACACCTATGCTGGCAGGTAATGTAATCTGGCCTGATCTGGGCTGTTGCTCCTTCTGATTCTTGCACTCACCTGCAGGGACTGCACTGCTAACAGAGGCGTTCCCTAAGTTCCTCTACTGGGTCTCCTCCCAGTGACATATCTTTTGCCCACTGGTGAGTGCTTGTCCTGCCCTGGCTGGGCCTACCTCCTATCCTGGCAGGAATAGCGTCCTTGCTCAACTAACCCATACCCGTTGTGGCTCTTACTACATGCTACAGTCCGGCCATGCCTGGTCCACCTCCAGACCTGGCTCTCGTGTGGTTCAGTGGGTGCTGAGACCCAGCACGGCTTGTTCTATACCCACTCTAACTCTTGCAAACAGCAGCGGATGCTGGAGCCTAGCCTTGCCTGGCTCACCCCAGTCCACATCAATGCTGAGAGGTGCTGCAGCCCTTCCAGCACAGATTACTGCCCTGATTCTGGTTCCTACACTCAACAGTGGGGACTGTAGCCCAGTTGTCCCCTTAGCTCCCCAGCTGGGCCTGCTCCAGCCACAGATTTTGTGTATCTGGTAGTTCCTCTATTCTAACCTGGCGTGGCCTAACCCCCATCTTGGCCTTTGCCATCGTATGCTGCAGCCTGGCCTAGCCTAACCTGCTCCCAGTCTCAATTCCTGTTGGTTGGTACTGCAGCCTAACCCTGTCCAGCCTGCCCCGATCCCTGGCTTCATGCAAACCAGTAGGTGTGAGAGCCTAGCTTGGTGTGGTCTGCACCGCTTATGCCAGTGTCATGGTTTGGCCCAGCCATGCCAAGTCTACCGTCCCGAGTCAACCCACACATCTGCTGACAAGTGGAGCAGCCTTGCCCAGCTGGACCAATACCCAGCACTGACTCTCATGCTCACCAGTGGGAGCTATGGCCCACCAGGGGAATTTCCCAAGTTCTCCCACCAGGCCCACACCCAACCCTGACTCATGTGCTCACCAGAGGGAATGATAACCCACCATGGAAATTTCCAAAGCTCTCCCACCAGGTCCATTCCCAAACCTGGACCTCACATTCGCCAGTAGGTGTTAGACCCTTACCTGGCAGAGTGTACCCCCTCTGTCTTGGCCTCTGTGTGCTGAGGGATGTTGTGGCCCAGCCTGCCCCATACCAATTCTTGGGTGCTCCTGTGGGTGCTGCAACTTAGACCAGCTTGGCCTATTACCAACCCAAGTTCTCATGAGTGTCTTAGGATTCCATGGTTAGGCCTAGGTTGGCCCGTCACCAGCTCCCAGCTCTTAAGCAAACCAGGGAGTATTAGAGTCACACAGGGGTGTGCCCACCTATTCCCCATAGAATCTGCCCCCAGACCTGGTTCTTTCATGTACTTGTTAGGGTTGTAGCCAGCCCATCCTAATGTGAGCTGTCCTCTCTTCCAACAATCACTGGTGAGTATTGTGTTCTGGCTTTGCCAGGTGGGCTCCCCTGCCTTAGTTTGAATGTGCTATGGTGGGTGGTGGTCAACAGTGGGGGATGCCAACTAGCCTAGCTCAGGTATCCCACATAGGCAGGTGCATCTGTCTGACCCAGAAAGGTCCTCCAGCTTCCTCATCCAAATTGCTTGGTGTTAGCCCCCTTGCTTACCTGCATGTATGGTGGCCTTGTTGATGGAAGTCCCCCGGAAGTTATTCCTCACCTGTAACATGCTCTCTCATTGGTCCTCCCTCTAAAAGATCCCTCTACCCCCTTTCCTGAGCAATCCACAGTCTCCATGTCTGGGAGAGAGTGGGTTCCCCTGCCTGGTCTTCCAGTGGGATGACATGCTGGCCTGGAGCTCTTCTCGCCTACCAGGCCCAAGCTCATGCATGGATCCCCAGCCCTGGTCCTCTGGCCTGCTTGCTGGCCTAGGACCTTTCCCCTTCACCTGCCTGGGACACAAATGCAAGCGACAGTCCCCAGGCTCAGCCCATCACGCAAGCTGCGGACTTTCCGTCCCTCCTTCTCACCTGCTCATGGGAACCCAAACATGCGCATGATAGCCAACGGCCCACGGAAGGAAGCGAAGCCACCGGCGGCTCCAGCTCCATGGGTGGAAGGAAGTTGTCTCTTTGTCTTTTAAATAAACATTAAAATGAAAAAAAAGAGAAAACTTACCTTGGATGTTTGAAGACATTCTCTCTTCTGCATTGCTAGTTTCTCATTCTGTACTGAATCAATATACTCATGGCTGTGCTGTAGGATTTTCCATAAGAAATTATACCCCAGGCCAGCATTGTGGTGCAGCTGGTGAAGCTGCTATCTGTGATGGCAACATCCCATATAGGTGCTGGTTCGTGGCCTGGCTGCTCCACTTCCCATCCAGATCCCTGTTAAGGCGCCTGGAAAGGTGGCAGAGCTTTGGCCATGTGCTTGGGCCCCTACATTTGTGGGAGACCTGGAGGAAGTGCCTGACTTCTGGTTTCCACCTGGCCCAGTTTTCCTTGCAGCCATCTGGGGAGTGAACCAGTGGATAAAATCTCTTCCAATTTTTTTTTTAATATTTGTTTTTATTTGAAACGCAGGTTTATAGAGAGGAGAGACAGATCTTCCATCCACTGGTGCACTCCCCAAATGGCTGCGATGGTCAGAGCTGGCTTCTGAACCCAGAAACCTGGAGCGTCTTTCCAGGTCTTTCCTACAGGGCGCAGGGGCCCCAGGAACTGGGCCACCTTCTGCTGCCCTCCCAGATCAGAAGCAGAGAGCTGGGTCAGACGTGGAGCAGGTGCAACAGGAGCCGGCACCCTTATGCCAGGCTGGCAGCAGAGGAAGAGCATCAGCTTATGATGCCACGACTGACCCTCTCTATGTAATTCTGAGAGAACGTGTGATACCCCAGTAACCCCTCTCCTTTACAACGGTTATCTATCTATCTATCTATCTATCTATCTATCTATCTATCTATCTATCTGTCCGTCCGTCCATCCATCCATCCATCCATCCATCCATCCATCCATCCATCCTGTCTTTCACATGAAAGACAGGGAGAGAAGCAGGTCTCCTGTACAACTGAGACCTGAACCCAGCTACTTGCAATGGGATGGTGTCCTCCCCTGATGTGTCCAAGCTCTGCCCCCTACACTACTTCTATTCCCACTCTTCTCTCTCTCTCTTCTTTTCTTTCTTAGCTCTATTTTTATTGGGAATGCAGATATATAGACAGGAGGAGAGACAGAGAGGAAGATCTTCCCTCCAAT